GAGGAGTCCCTGCCCATGGGAGAGGGGTTGGAACTAGATGATCTCTAAAGTCCCTTTCAATCCAAACAATTCTATATCTAAAATACAGATGACATACTCTAAACAGAGCTGGACAACAATCTTACCCCAGGTTATTTTAAAACTCTGTGCGTGTACTTTTCCTTTCACTGCAGGTTTTGAAGGTACTCCAGGCTTGTCTGGACAAGTAATGTATTCTACTGTCTCACTTGGACTGCTTTTCCCTTCTGAGTTATAGGCAATGACCTGTAAATATATAAAAAAATATTATAAACAGAACAAACACACTGGCTAGTGGTATACTATTCACTGTTAATATTCAAATATTTATATTAATTTATATATATATGCTTAGATAGATAGCTACATAATAAATTATCACAAGAACTAAAGCTATGTTATACCTTCATTTTACATTTTCATTAGTGCCATAGTTAGACAATCACCATACTGATACTAAAAATCCCTGCAAATTGTCAGGAAAAAAAAATCCTTAAAAAAAACCCCTACTAATCATGAAGCTGAAAAAAAAATTTCACAAATCAAATAACCTTCCCTGTCCCTCAAATATCAAACATTGGTGCATAAAGTTAGGCTTCTACTTAGGACACTTAAGAGTTGTCTGACTGCAAAAGGTAAGCAAGACATGTAAATCTCAGTGACATTAATGGAATCTGTGGGTGCTCAATATAGCACAAGCCACTTTGTTTCATGTCAAGGGTCTAAAAACTTGTTTTTTTAAAACCACCTAAGATGCTCAGCAATTGGACAGGTCTAAGAACTACTCTTAATTGGAGTTGCACAATTTATTGATAACAAAATATACACATGAGAAAAAACCTTTATAAAAGTATGGAAACAAAAGATCATGAAAAAGACATAGAGCAAAGGGGCCATTTTTAAACTTTCACTGAAGGAACTTGGAAGTTTCAAAATTTTAGTTCCAGTTCCTTTCCCATTGAGGTAAAAATATTTTTGTGTAATTAAGTAAAGAGCAAAAATGGATGCTTTACTAACTGCTGAAAAAAACCCAATAACTAGGATCAGTTAAGCAGCGCTCTCATGTTACTACAGTACCTTCTTTCAAGGAAATACATTCAGAAATAAAAAAGTGGTTACAAGGGTAAGTTGTATTAAAGACAGTAAAGGTGATATCAACTCTTCAGTCCCAAGGGAAATTATGGCAAAGGTGGTCATGGAAGTTATTTACAGGCACATGAAGGGCAAGAAGGTGATTACATTTTAAAAGGGTAAATCATGTTCAACTAACCTGGGTGCCTTCTATGTTGAAACAACTCGCTCAGTAAATGAGGGGAGAGCTGTGGACATCATCTGCCCTGATTTTAGTTTGACATGGTCTCCCACAACATCCATGCAGACAAGCTGGTAAGATGCAGACAGGACAGATGGACCATAAGATGCGTGTGAAAAACCTGGTAGAATGCCAGGCTCAAAGGGTGGTGGTGATTCAATTTCCTCAGCAGTCAATATCTTTAGAAATTATCTCAATGATAAGAGTGAAGGCATTCTCTCCAGGTTTGCATATGACACCAAACTAGGAGTAGAGAGAGATACGCTGGAAAGAGCCACCATACAGACTTTGACAGGCTGGAAGATTGCATCAACAAGAACTATGTGAGTTTTGACAAAGGTAAATGTAAAGTCTTGCACCCAGGATGGAATAATCCCAGCAGCAGTACAGTCTGGGGTCTGATGGCTAGTCAGCTTTTCTTAAGCTGCCTCTTCTCCAAGGAGAAAAGACCTAACTCTTTCACAGTCTTACCTGTTCCCTGAGAACAGGGCAGGTTCTCCAGCCCTTTGATCATCTTCATGGCCTTCCTTTGGACCCTCTCCAGTCTGTCTCTTTTTTGAATTGTGGGGACCAGAACTGGAGATGGTACTCCACTTGGCCTGACAGGCGCTAAGTAGAGTGAGATGATCACATCTCTTATCTCTGACAGTAATTCCCCTGCGGATGCAGCTCAGGATCAGATTTGCCTTGGTTGCTGCAGTGGTGCAGTGCTAACTTGTGTTCAACTTGTTGTCCACCAAGACCCCCAGGTGCCTTTCAGCAAGGCTGGTCCCCAGCCACACAGATCCTAGCCTGTACTGGGCTTCTTGGTTATTCCAACCCAGATGCAGGACTTCACACTTGTTTTTGTTAAAATTCATACTGTTCTTGCTAGCCCACTCTTCTAGCCCATCCAGGTCTCTCTGTAAGATGACTTTCCCTTCTGACATGTCCACCACATCTCTCAGTTTAGTGTCACCAGCACACTTGGGAAGGGTGCTTTCAATCCCATCGCATAGATCATATGTGAAGATAAACAGTGTGGGGCCCCATACCGATCCCTAGAGAATCCTACTTATGACATTTTGCCGGCCTGAATAAAAACCATTGATCACCACCCTATTGAGTGTGGCCTGTTAGGTAGTTTTCTACTCATCTATCAGACCACCCATCCAGTCTGAATCTTGCTGGTTTGTCCAGGAGAAGGCTGTAGAAAACAGTGTCCAATGTTTTGCTGAAGTCCAGGTAAACAACATCCACTGGTCTCCCCAGGCCAGCTGAAAGTGTTACTTTGTTGTAGAAGGTGATCAGGTTAGTCAAGCATGATTTGCCTTTAGTAAATCTGGCTTTTCCCAAACACCTGCTTCATTTGGCATGCAATAGTTTCTGGGAGGGCTTGTGCCACTACTTTCTTGGAAACTAGTAAGATTAATAGGCCTGTAGTTTCCTGGGTCCTCTTTTGGGCCTTTCTTGTAGACGGGCATGACGTTTGCCCTCTTCCAGTTGTGAGGGATATCCCCTGATCTCCATCGCTTTTCAAATATTATAGATAGTGGCCTTGCAACAATGTCAGCCGTTTCTCTTAACATCCTGGAGCGGATTCTGTCCTGGCCCACAGATTGATGCGGGTTGAGCCCAGCCCTTCCTCCACCACTGGTGGGTCGACACATGCCTTGTCATAGCTACTTGATCCTGTGATTTGGGGTCATAGAACCATAGAATCACAGAATGGTTAGGGTTGGAAAGGACCTTAAAGATCGAGTTCCAACAACTTGGGTCCAGCTATGCTGGTAAAGACAGAGGCAAAGGTACTGAGACCCTCTGCCTTTCCTGGCATTATTAGTAACTTGCCTCCCTGCCCTGTTTAGCAATGGGCCTATGTATGTCTTGCTGTGCTTCTGCTTACTGCTCACACATCTGTAGAGCCCTTTCATGTTGTTCTTGATATCTGTGGCCAATTTCAGATCTAGCTGATCCTGAGCGTTCCTGACTGCATCTCCCCATGTCCTAGCAAGGTTCTCGTAGTCCTCCATGGCTATTTGGCCACCTTTCCACAGCAAGTATGCTGCTTTTTTGCTTTTAACCACACCCAAAAGCTCATTGTTAAGCCACTATTAAGCAAGACTTCATTCTGAGCTAACAAGTTCGGTCCTCAAGACTTATTATAGAATGGGCTCACCACCACTGTAATATGAGTGATTTACTAACTTGTGCTCAGTTCAATGCTAGCACTGACAAATGTTTTACGATCAAAGTTGCTCCTTACCCCAACACTTTCAGATGTGTTTAGAGTCTATTAAAGAACTCCATAGCTGCAATAAGTAATATTACCCATGTATATGCAACACAGAAGCAAAATAAAAACCCCCAACTCTTAAGAACATTGACTTATGATGTGGTACTTCAAGATACCTGAAACTATGTTATGCCCTTGTAGATGGAGGTTCTTAACCCTTCTGCAGACATGACTAATGAAGCAGGTATTCAGTTGATAGTTTTAAGAGACTGAAATAGTAAGAAACTGGCATCAAATTGGGGTTTCCTTAAAAAAGGCCCTCCTCATTTCTGAGTCAATCTCAAGTTACTTTGGTGCAAACCACCCTCCCCCCCCTCCAAATATATGCAAAAATCTTACCCTAAATTTATATTTTGTACTACGCTTCAAATTCTTCACCGTGTAGGTAAGATCATCACCATCATATTTTGGCTTGAAACCATATCCCTGCAGAATTAAATAGGATTATTTGAAATATATTTGCAGACCAGACCATGTAACATACTTCATAAAAATGAATCATTGTTTCAGACTGTAGTTGTTAGCTCCTCTGACAAAGTAATAAGTGTAACTTTATGGTGTAAATACAATATTTATTTTTTTTCGAGAGGGGAAAATTAATTAACCATTCTCCAATCAGAAGAGGAGAAAAGAACAGTAAAGAAAAACATACACAGGGTCAACAGAAATTATACTTCACACTTTCAAAAGGTAGAACAGGACTCATTTTAAAACAAAGGTGGTTAGACTGAAAAGACATCTAGAGGGACTACAATTCATGATGCAATTACTTTGATCCAGCACTTATAAGGCTTAACTTTCACACACAAATTCACATGTCACAGCAATGACAAATCATTAGCTTAATTTCAGAAAATACAGTTCCTTGTAGAATATTCTATCAAAAGTAATCATTCTTACACTTAATACAATAATGTATCAAATACACACATTATAGTCTCTTCTTATTGAGAATAAGTGTTCCAAACTTACTGAGTTCTCATCCTCCATCTCTAATATATACGAGATTCCTTCATCTGATGGTGTTCCTGAGGGTTTTGTCCACTGTAGGGATAACCAAGTAACTCCAGCATTAATCAGCAAAGGACTTGCTGGTGTGGTTGGGGCAGTGCCTGAGGTATGATACAGGACTTCTTCACTAAAACCACTGTTTAAAACAGACAGTATGTAAACTAGACACAATAATGAATATATAGAAAAATATAATTCTTACTAAACACAGCTATGACAGCTTCTTGGACATGTGTGCCAACTGAAAATTGCAAGCTGGTACATGCAGATGACTTAACTTGCCCATGAGTCTGTCAGTAACAAAACATTTGAACAAGGTTAACATGTTCATAATTGACAGATTCCTTTGTATGATATAATTACATTATTTTGCTAACCAAAACATTTTGCTTTTTCATATTAAGTCTTTATTCTAAAACAACAGAGCTCTATATATAATAATGTACTAATACCACAGTGTTCTTCCTATTGAACATGGAAACAGGAAGACATAAAAGGATATACAGGAAGACCTCAAAAAAAATTTTTGCTTCCCAGGCAGCAATTATGTGCTTCAAGTATAATGTGAAGTTCCAGTTTCTCTGGTAATTCAGAAAATAATAGAATAATAGCCTCATTCAACATTAAGTTACTTTAAGAGTTGCCAATATGAAATTTTTATTGCAAAACAAAATAGAGTGTACACCAGTAAATCTGCTAATACAACTGTTAACCTTATCTGATGACAGATACACCTTGAAGTGAAAATACAAATAAGTCACATGAAAAGATCTATTGCAAAAAAGAGGAAAGCAGAAGTCACTAAATGGGTACTATGCTTGCACTAGCTGTGTATCTAGCTAGACTCTAAAAAACATCCACCTGTTCTCAGCTTGGCATTTATTTAGAGATTTGCTGCTTCTCCATCAGATCTGAAGAAATACTTATAGGCTTAAGAGCTAGTTTACTTTTTTTAACTGTATGAAACTAATGTCAAAGATGTAATTTTAATCTAAAAGCTAGGCACTACCTAGGTGAGTACCAGAAAGTCCTGAAAACAAAATTCTCTGTAGGGCTTAAACAACAGTATCAGTTAAATACCTTGTGTGTCAGAATCTGACTTTCCTGAAAAATCTCTATATAAAGACACCTCAACTTCACCTACTCTCCTACCCAATCTACATTATAATAACACACAAGTTGTAAATTCTGGTCTGCTCTGAACTCTTTTTTGACATTAAAAAAAAGAAATAAAAAAATCTTTCAGAAAACACCTTATCAAGGGTATCAGTAGCACCCAAAGCAGACAGACAGTCTGTGTGAACACACAGACTGTGAAATAGATTGTGAAGCAGGAAGTGAAACAGTGCAAAACAAGAGAAAACTTCTTCAATTTGGGGGCAATAATAATTTTTTTATTGCAAAAAGTCACAAGCAAGAAAATCTCTGAAATGAATATGACGCGATACATACAATGTATCTACTAAAAAAAATCTCAGCACTATTCAGGTAGGCTAGAGAAAACATGAAGGGAGGCTAGACAAACACCAAGCCTATCTCTCTGTTCACAACAAATTATTGAAGGAGTCACCTAACAAGCAGATAAAGTAAAAACTCCTCATTAATCTCATTACTTGATTGAACCACTCCAAACCACACTAAAACCAAGTAAAAGTGTTACAGTGATACTCACAATTGAATGACTCTTAAACAATTGACTTAGAAGTACAATAATGTTATCTATCTTCTAAATAGATTTTATTTTTTCAGTTTTCTTTAGCCACTGTTTTGTGTGTGGTTAGAATTAAATTTAAAAATATAAGTAACTAAAAGATAAAATATCTGTTCTTGTTGGTAAAATCATTTAGACAAAATTCTGTTTCCAGATGCCTAAATGTTCTCAACATTCTTCATAAGGAATAATCAGGCATGCTACCCTAATAAATATTATTTCAAGAGACTTCTTAATTAAATAATACCATAAAGACGATAAAGTGCATCTTTACCAGGCTATGAAATATTGATTTACAAATCTATTCAGCATGATTAGTTTAAGAAGGGTACTTAACTGATCAATGTCTTCTACCAGCTCACACTGCAGGCATCTGTAATATGTAAAGGTACTCCCAGAAGGTATATTTACACTCAGATGTAAAAGGGGAACAGGAAGACAGCCTAAGCACTGGACCCTGCTTAACTGCCAGCTCACTCCCTGTCTTTATTTTTTTGAACAGTTCCAACTAAATCTCATCCAGATAAGGTCCAGGAGCGACTCAGAGAATAATTAATTCCAGAAAACATCATCCAGAAGGAGTCACATAATAAAGACTGTGTTGGAGCACACCAAAAGTAATTCTAGCCCATTGTAGTGTCCTCTGACAGTGGCCCAAAGCAGGTGCCTAAGGAAAGACATAGGAACAGGCACTATATGCAACACATTCCCCAAGTACTCTCCAAAGCCTCCCAACACATGCCTCAGATCTCCTGAGCCAGCTGTAGTTTTCACATTCCTCATTGCCTGCAGATTTCTTCTGCCCAGCATGAATTACAACCCCAGGTCTGGCACACTGTTCTTTTGTTCTTTTCTCCTTCAACATTGTCCAAGCAGACATTGTTCCTTCAAGCACCTCCTTATGCCAGCTGAAGGACACACAACAGACACATCCTCTATTTCATGCTATGAAAATACCAGTCTGGTGAGCTGCAGCACACTGCTCCTAATATTTAAAACACTGAATTAAAAAAAAACAAATGCAAAATAGCAATTTTAAGCTGACAGCTAGAGAAGCCCTTTTTTAATGCCACATAGGACTTCAAGGTCCAAGTGTTACTAGGTGGTGTGGACACTGTCAATCTGCTTTAGAGATGATGAGCCCTGGCAGTGTGACTATTAGCCAGGTTTATTCACTTTGCCTGAAGCATTCCCAAGAACACCCAGTAGTGCAAGCAGAACTTGAGAAACCAGTAATTTGGTTTGGTGGTTTTTTTCAAGTTCTTACTTATATTCTCTACTGAAGTCAGATGTCAGTCATTAAAAAATTCAAAAGAAAGAAAGTTTGGTGCTCTGTAACTTCTGAAAAGTAGCAATTAAAAGTAAAAACCACATATCCTAAGCATTCATAATAAGCTCTAGAACTACAAAATAATTCAGTGATATGGTAATGTCATATTCTGTCCATTTCCCAGGGTAACAGGAGACTAACAGACACCTGAGATAAAGGGACATATCTGAGTAATGGGACTTGGCAAAGAGCACAATACAGATACATCTAGAGGGGGAAGTGGGGGTTTTGCCAGACTTCCTTCCTGCGCCAGAAGAGTTACTGACACCTCTTCATATTGTCATCACTAAAACTCTGAATTTAAGGAGGGCTGATAAGCCCTGGAAAATTGCCACACCAGCTTCAGGAACTACCTTAGATCTAGCACCATGTCAAACCTCCCTGGAACCAAAAGCAGCAGAGAGCATGGTAGGAGGTACCCTCTGATCAGCACAGCAGCAGCACAAGCACTGCAGCATTTAAACCATCCAATTCTGGCCCTTTGGCCAAGCTGCTTATCTTCTAGCATGATCACAATAATTTAGTAGAAGCGCTTATAACATCAGACACAAAAGCCACAATTGCACTGAATGTTGAGTCTCTACAATGTAGTGCTTAGACAAAAATTCTATTACAAGTACAGGCAGTAGAAAACACATCCAAGGTAGCAAATTCAGTGGTCAGTGTAGGTCTACAAAGACTGAAACTAAAAACCCGCACAGCGTGAACTAATTTAACATAAGAGCAGATGGGCTGCCTGTGCCATGCTTGTGCTCCCCGTTCTGGGGGCATCATGTACAAATGTCTGAGGAGGCTGTTCAGGAAATGAGGCTAAGTCTGGCAGAAGGAGCAGTACTATCTGCTTCTAAGAGGGGCTGAGATTTGTAGCATTTACATTGGAAGTATGCACAAACGTAGTGGTTGTAGTATGTAGCCATACCATGCCTGGACAAAATACATTATGCTGGGAATCACAGAATAGCTGAGGTTGGAAGAGAGGGATCTCTGCAGTTCTTGTCCAACCTTCCCTGCTTAAGCAAGGTCAAGTGGCTCACAGCACACAGGTAATCTCTGAACTGAATAATCCAAGCACTTAATGTGAATTAACTATGCAGTTGGACTAGATGATCACTGTAGGTCCCTTCCAACTGAATTACTCTATATTCCACTTCATTCCAGTTGGACAAAAGACTTGCTTCTTTAAATGCCATCATATGTTTTTCCTAAACAAGCACACACATGCACGCATATGCATTTCATATTTGTGTATATAATAGCAGTATTTACCTCATTCCCATGTCATTTTTGGCCGCTAGCCTAAAGGTGTACCCCATTGCTGGTGATAGTTTAGTAATCCTATACTGCTTCTGTTGGCCATAATAACACTGGCAAAACTCTCCATTTCCTTTTCCCTAAAAAGGAATGAAATTAATCACATTATTCACCCTATTATATATGGTCCATCAATTAAAGTAACACACAAATGTGAAGTAACTCATTCTTTGAAATGAAACATAACTCAAGAATCTCCCATATAGTGAGGTATTAGTATATATATTTAGTAGATAGTAGAATGCATATAACTTTGTATATATAATTAATTATATATTTTCCCTTCCTTTCAATTTCTGAGCTCCACAAAGTTGGAAGGAAAAAAGCCATGAAGCTTCTGCAGCTCTGCCATCTCAGGATAGCTGTCCAGGCAGGGACTGGAAGATGCTTGCCATAGCAG